TCACCTCCACTAGCTTTGTTCATAGTGATGCTTCCTAAGGCCCACTTGACTTCACATTCCAGGATGTCTGGCTCTAGGTGAGTGATCACACCATCATGATTATCTGGGTCATGAAGATCTTTTTTGTACAGTTCTTCTGTGTATTCTTGCCACCTCTTCTTAATATCTTCTGTTTCTGTTTGGTACATACCATTTCTGTCCTTTATTGTGCCCATCTTTGCATGAAAATTTCCCTTGGTATCTCTAATCTTCTTGAAGAGATCTCTAGTCTTTCCCATTCTATTGTTTTCCTCTATTTCTTTGCATTGATCACTGAGGAAGGCTTTCTTATCTCTCCTTGCTATTCTCTGGACCTCTGCATTCAAATGGGTATATCTTTCCTTTTCTCCTTTGTCGTTCACTTCTCTTCTTTTCATAGTTATTTGTAAGTCCTTCTCAGACAACCATTTTGCCTTTTTGCATTTCTTTTTATTGGGAATGGTCTTGATAACTGCCTCCTTACAATGTCACAAACCTCTGTTCATAGTATATCAGATCTAATCCCTTGAATCTATTTGTCACTTCCACTGTATAATTGTAATATGGTACAATACTCATAACATAAAATGTACCCTCTTAACCATTTTTAAGTGGATGACTCATGGTGTTCAGTACATTCACAATGCTGTGCAGGCATCACCACCTTCTACCTCCAGAGCTCTTTTCATCTTGCAAAACTGAAACTAACTTCCTTAAATAATAACTTCCGTCTCCCCCTCTCCAGGCCCTGCCAATCACCATTCTAATTTTCACCTCTATGAATTTGACTATCCTAGGTTTCTCACATATAAGTGGTGGTTGTTTCTCAGTTGCTCAGTTGTGTCCAGCTTTTTGCAACCCCATGGACTGCAGCACACCAGGCTTCTCTCTTCACTGTCTCCTGGAGTTCACTCAAATGCATGTTCATTGAGTCCATGATGCCATCCAACCATCTCATCCTCCGTCTCCTCTTTCTCCTCCTGCCCTCAGTCTATCCCAGCCATTTACCAATGCGTTGGCTCTTCACATCAGGTAGCCAAAGTAATGGAGCTTCAGCATCAGTCCTTCCAATGAATATTCAGGATATGTATGTATATATACATACATATAGTGGAATCAAACAGCATTTGTCCTCTTGTGTCTGACTTACTTCACATAGCATAAAGTCCTCAAGACCCATCCATGTTGTGGCATATATCAGAATTCCCTTGTTTTTTAAGGCTAGATAATATTCCATTGTGACAATACACACAAACATTTTGTTTATCCATTCATCTGCTGATGAGCACTTGGGTTATTTCTACCTTTTGTCTCTTGCAAATAATACTGCTATAACATGGGTGTACAAATATCTCTTTGTGTCTCTGCTTTCAATTCTTTTGGGAATTACTCAGAAACGGAATTACTATATTGGTTTATATGGTGACTCTAAGTTTTGGAGGAACCGCCATAGCGTTTGCTACAGCAAACTGTGCCATTTTACATTTCCATCAATAGTACACAAGAGTTTTAGTTTTTTCATATGCTCATCAACACTTGTTATTTTTCATTTTTCAGATAGTAGACTTCAGCTGAGCACCAAAGAATTGGTGCCTTTAACCTGTGGTGCTGGGGAAGACCCTTGAGAGTCCCTTAGACAGCAAGGAGATCAAACCAGTCCATCCTAAGGGAACTCAACCCTGAGGATTCACTGGAAGGACTGATGCTGAAGCTGAAGCTTGAATACTTTGGCCATCTGATGCAAGGAGCTGATTCATTGGAAAAGACTCTCATGCTGGGAAAGATTGAAGGAAGGAGGAGACAGGGATGACAGAGGATGAGATGGTTGGATGGCATCACTAATTCAGTGGACTTGAGTTTGAGCAAACTCTGGGAAATAGTGAAGGACTGGGAAGCCTGGACTGCTGCAGTCCATGAGGTCGAAAAGAGTCATACGTGACTGAGTGACTGAACAGTAACAACAACAAAAAACTATTAACAAAGGAAAGATTTTCAAAACTGTTCCATTTAAAATACTGAGTTGGAAATTCATTTACTTAGCAAGCGTAACTGAACACCTAAATGCTGTGGTTACAGTGGTGGAAAAAGCTGGAACCAGTTCCCTCGCACATAAAGCTTTAATTTTAGCAGAGGAGAAAGTAATTTCATAAATTTAAATATCTAAATTATTCAATTATCACTATGGTAATTGAAAAAAACTACAAGTTCAGAAACCTAAGGGAGCATTTATCAGGGACACCTGGTATGTACTAGGGAGCCAAGAATGCTGAATAAATGTGAGTTAGAGGAAGATAGGAGAAAATAGCAACCCAATCCAGTATTATTGCCTGGAAAATCCCATGGACAGAAGAGCCCGCAGGCTACAGTCCATGGTGTTGCAAAGAGTCGGACATGACTGAGCACAAGCACGCATGCATGACGCACAATGAGGGGATGATGGGAACACAGACAGCCTTTGAAGCAGAAGAAATAGCATGTGCAAAGGCACTGGGGAAGAGAAACACATGAGACTTTTGGGCACGTGAGAACATTTAATATTGCCTCCATACCAGCTAAGAGCCCTAAACAACTCAAGATTGGCCTGATCCTCCTATCCAATGTCATCATTTCTGCTTTCCAGCACGAAGGGGGCATGAAGGATGCTAGGCTACATCCATGCAGGGCATCCCAGGAACCAACTACCCTCAGCTCTTCAAACATAAGGGTCGGTGGAGAAGTGAACAGGACGAGGCATTGAGTCACTTTTCTCAACTCTCTTTGTGACTCAACTGGGAGCATTGTTCTGAAATAAGGACTGGAGGCGAAGTCCTCAGGAAGATTATGTTCTGCAGGCAGATTATGTCTATGCATGCACATGCGCTAAGTAGCTTCAATCAAGTCCAACTCTTGTGACCTCATGGACTGTAGTCTGCCAGACTCCTCTGTCCATGGGATTCTCCAGGCAAGAGTACTGGAGTGGGCTGCCATGCCCTCCTCTAGCGATCTTTCTGATGCAGTGATCAAACCCGTGTCTCTTACATCTCCTGCATTGGCAGGCAGGTACTTTATCACTAGCACCATCTGGGAAACCCCTGAATGTCCATATCCTTGTGAAAATCTGCTCTCACACTAGGGTGACTGAGATGCACCATCCAGGGTCTTTGTGTAGGCTCGTTCAGGGAAACAGGAGAGAACAGAACCTGCCTTTAAAAGGCCCCCAATTACTTTTTGGCCAGCCACAGACTAATGCTTTATCTATCCAACCCACCAGATTTCAGACCTCATTGGCATTAGGAGAGGAGGATGAACTTTGGTCCAGGAAACGAATCAATGACGTTCTTCCTCAGGAAGACTGAAGATACACAATAGAAATGAAAATGAATTATTCCTTAAGTTTCCTCTAGTTTTCAGCCAGCAAAACCTTTTATCAACTTGTTGGCAAACGGAGCTGAAACCATGCCCTTAACTAGAAATGGACCAGAGGGCATGGGAGACGGGGAGGAGAACCCAGGCTCCCATACGGATGAAGATAGCTAATTAACACTCACAGCCTCTTTTGCCTGGGGCTCATGGTGCGAACAATTCTGGGGATGATGTATTTTGACCAAATTAAAAAGCAATTCATTTCTCCTGCAGATTATTTACAGGGAAAGACAATGAAACTTGAATAAATGTTGCTAAGCTTGTCAGAGGAGAAGCACTACCTGATGTAGCTGTGCTGAGAGAGGCTGAGGCGGGAGGAGAGGATGTCTGATGAGCCCAGCAGGAGGACAGTGCCTGCGTCTCTCCGAGGACCTGCAGTCTCACACCCAGAGAGATCTGGGCATGAGACGGCGGGCTGCTTGGCTCACTCCATGATCACTGACCCAGGGATCTCTGAGTTAGCTGGTCCACGAACACAGATGTGATAGGAATTATTACCCTAGACAGCCCTGGAAGAGAATTAGAATGAGAAAGAGCCCTCCATTCTCTCTGTCCTTCAAGAACTACCTTAGAGCTCTTCAGTGCAGTAAGTCCCCTACATGTTATTCCTGTTGTAGTTCAGTCACTAAGTCATGTCCGACTCTTTTTAACCCTATGGACTGTAGCCCGCCAGACTCTTCTATCCATGGGCTTTCCCAGGCAAGAATACTGGAGTGAGCTACCATTTCCTTCTCCAGGAGATTTTCCCAACCCAGGGATCAAATCCACGTCTCTTGCACTGGCAGGCGGATTCTTCACCGCTGAGCCCCGGGGAAGCCCCAAGTCCCCTACATACAAACTTTCAAGTTGGGAACTCTCAAAGACGGGAACATGCTCCGCTGTTTAGCTGTAGTTTTCAAGGTACTGTACTGTCAGATTAAAATGTTTTATTCTTTGTGTATTATTTGTGAGAAAAGTATTATAAACCTATTACAGTACATTACTACATAACAGACTTTGTTAGTTGGGTACCTAGGCTAACTTTGTTGGACTTAGGGAGAAACTGGACTTACGAACGTGCTCTTGGAAGAGAACTCCTTCATATGTAGGGGACTTGCTGTAACATGATGCTTGTTTTCCTAGAAGAAGGAAGAGTAACAAATGGAGCAGGTTTGTAGTCCTCACATGAACTTTTCACTTTGTGATGTTGCCCATGACCTATTTTCAGGACAAAAGTTAAAAATCTGTATCAGACAGACTCTGGCACCCAAATACCTGAGTTTGAATCATATATACACATGCACTGATATACATATATACACAGACATACACACAATCACATCTCAACACATGTGTGTATATGCACGGTGGTCTTGGGTCGTTTCCTTTGTCCCTCTCTATTTTGGTTTGTCCATAGATAGAATGAAGTTTTGGTGAGGATTAAAGAAGTTACTATAATTTTTAGGGCTCTGTGAAGAGAACTTGGCACATGGTAAACACCAGGTAAACGTTAGCTACTACCTTTTGTTAAATATGTCTAAGTACTACAAGGTTGGAGGCCAGAATGCAATGCCAGCTTTCCCAATGCCAATTGTTATTCAAAAAGGTAGGTAATCTAAAGGGGTGGGAAAGGAATTCTTCCCTCAGGAGCTCAGATAAAGGTATTTTCATGTTGAATGAAAAATAAGAGCTCATGGATATTTAATATTTTAAAAAATGTAAACCTAGGTATAAAAGTCTGCTCACCAGTGTTTTTTAATTGATTTTTAATTGAAGGATAATTGCTTTATAGAATTTTGTTATTTTCTGTTAAACATCAACAAGAATCAGCCATAGGTACACCCATGTCCCCTCCGTCCTGAACCTCTCTCCCGTCTCTCTCCCCAGCTCGCCCTTCTAGATTGTCACAGAGCCCCTGTCTGAATTTCCACTCATACAGCAAATTCCCATTGGCTATCTATTTTACATATGGTACTGTAAGTTTCCACGTTACTCTCCACACATCTCACCCTCTCTCTCCTCCCCCCGCCCCATGTCCTAAGTCTGTTCTCTATGTCTGTTTCTCCATGGCTGCCCTGCAAATAAATTCATCGGTATCATCTTTCTAGATTCCATATATATGCATTAGTATATGATATTTAAATATATGAAATATTACATATTTCAAATGTATCTTTGATCCCTACTATGTACCACAGTGCAGTGTCTGCAATACAATAAGGAAGAAAGGAATGAAAGAAAAGAAAGGAAGGAAGAGAGAGAGGGAAGGAGGAAGGTGAATATATTAAATAACCAGCTCTATTTATATCAGGTGTTGAATATTCATTAGAGACAGCAATTTACTTTTTTATTTTTTTGGTTCCTACACATCAGAGGCCGATTCAAACCAGAACAATTGCCATATTATTCTGCAAACAATAGATACTCCACTGATGGGATCCCAGTGAAACGAACGAAAATGAACCTGAACAAAACATAGCGTTAGCCTTCCTGAGGAACGAGACAGCCAAACAGAAGCTCTGCTCCTCTCCCCTGGACCTCTCAGCATGTCCCTGGGGGCTCACTCTTAACAACTTTCCCTGTTTACCACTCTTATCCATGAAGACGCTAAAGGCCCGTTCCTGCTGGCTCCCCATTCTCCCTGGAATCTCACAATGACATGACTCTCCTCTGCTTGGTTTTCTGCACTCACTCTGATGATGCTGTGCTGTGTTCAGGCGCTCAGTCACGTCCACTCTCTGCGATCCCACTGACTGCAGCCGCCAGGCCCCTCTGTCCATGGGGATTCTCCAGGCAAGAATACTGGCGTGTGTTGCCATGCCCTCCACCAGGAGATCTTCCCAACCCAGGGATCGAACCCAAATCTCCCGCATTGCAGGCAGATTCTTTACCATCTGAGCCATCAGGGAAGCCCGCTCTAATCATAGCCACACTTTAAAAAAAATAATTTATTTAATTGGAGGCTAATTACAATATCGTAGTGGTTTTTGCCACACATCGACATGAATCAGCCACGGGTGCACATGTGTTCCCCACCCTGAGCCCCCCTCCCACCTCCCTCCCCATCCCATCTCTCTGGGTCATCCCAGTGCACCAGCCCTGAGCACCCTTCTCATGCATCGAACCTAGACCAGTGATCTGCTTCACATATGATAATATACACATTTCAATGCTACCCTCTCAAATCATCCCACCCTCGCCTTTTCCCACAGAGTCTAAAAGACTATTCTTTACATCTGTGTCTCTTTTGCTGTCTCACATATAAGGCCATATACACAGCTTTCCCATTGCCCCTTACTTTGAGCCAGCGATTCTGCAAAGATACATTTTTCCTAACCCTATACAAGGATATGGTGCCCACAACTGTACAGTAACTGGTCAAATGAGATGAGATGTATACAAATATTCCCCAAACCTATAAACCTATGCATGTGCAAGTGTGCACACAAACACACACAACACTTACTCCTAAGTATATTTTTTGCAGGAAGAAGGATCCCTTCCAGGGCCCAAGAGTGCACTCTTGTCTAACACTCAGAAATGAATTGTCTAACGAGACACTTGTGCTAACAAAGCAAGAAACCTTGTTGGGAAGGAGGCACTAGGGTTAAGAGCAGGAGGCACGGAAACCCAGGAGAACCACTCTGTCATGTGGCTCACAGTCTTGGGTTTATGGTGATAGGATTAGTTTCCGTGTTGTCTCTGACCAATCATTCTGACTCAGGGTCCCTCCTGGTGGCGTGAGCATCACTCACTCGAGATGCATTCCAGCCAGGAGTTGGGGGGGACATATGGACTGGCATCGCCTGTTTCCTTTTGACCTTTCCTGAATTCTGGTTAGTGCTGGCTTGTTAGTTCTGTTTTTTACGAGGACCTCCTTTCACAAAATATCCCACGCAAGTGGTTGCTGGTGGTGCCTGGCCAAGGTGAGTGGTTTCAGTCAGTGTTTCCCCTAACATGTTTGTACTAACATAATTTAAACTTGGCTTCCCAGGTGGTGCTAGTGGTAAAGAACTCGCCTGCCAATGCAGGAGACATAAGAGACATAGGTCCGATCCCTGAGTTGGGAAGATTCCCAAGGCAACTCACTCCAGTATTCTTGCCTTGAGGGCTAAAGTTCGTAGGGTCACAGTCAGACACAACTGAAGCCACTTAACATACACACAATTTAAACTTGGATTATGTCCTAAGCACAAGAAAACAGAACCAAGACTATGGCTACTGCAGATGTAAAAATATGAAAGTGGGGAAAAGGACACGTGAATCTGTTTTGCCAGCCTGGTATTCATTTGCCCCTGTGGAAACAGTGCCTAAATTCTCCTTTGGGGAGCATCCCTCCCTCAGGCCTGGTCTCTGGCACTGAAAGGGGCAGATCACCCCTTTCTCCAGGGGAACACTTGATCCAAGCCTGACCAGTGAGATCATTCCATCTCCTTGGCTCAGTGACTGGCTCCAGAAATCACATGACTCAAGCTGTGTTGGTCACACAGAAACACCCGGCTTTTATTTGACCTGTATCTCCTTCTAACCACCTCACTCCCTGCCACTCCAGATTGAGGACAGCCACCCACTAGTAGTGGTGACTGGAGCAGAGACACAAAAGGCCGGGGGACCTCAGAGGTGTCCCCTTCTGCTCTCTGCACTTGCCTCTCACTCATCCTCCAAGCAGGCTCACAGTCACTGGGCTAGGAAGGCTTTTCTCATCCTCCTGGCCCCTCACCAGTGCTCACTCAGCCTCCGTTACAGCACCCCCACGACTGTGACAGCCCGAGGGTCTTCTCTACCCAAACAACTAAAAATTCCTCAAAAGGCAAGAATCTAAAGGAGCTCCTCTTATTCATGCCTTTATACATTGCAGATAGCACAGACCGCATAGCATGTACATCCCTTACTGTGTGCCAGGAACTGTTTTAGGTGCTTGGGTGCAGAATAGAGAAAACAGTCTCTGGAACTGTAGAGACTTCAGATGTATGCTTACTAACTGCTTTAATAAATGTTGTACTGCATTCTATCAAAAGTTAGCCTGCACCCAGGTCCTGCAGGAAGAAAGAATTGGAATCAACTGTTCTAAGTAATTATACACTGGTTGGACAGTAAGCAAAAGTTAGCTTCAGCACAGTAGTTTAATCATCTATTTATTTAAAAATGGGTGACTAATCACGTTTGCCTCTCTTTTTGTTCTTAATCTCTAAGATAAGGTATTTCATCGGTTGTGATTGATGTGTAACCAACAAAGGAAACTGCACAAATCAAAGACTCAGATCAATTAATTATTATAAAGTGAAGATATCCAAGTAAACTGCCCAAACAAATAGATTTGATGGAAAAAGAACATCCAACTTTGGAAGAATTTTCTTTTTGTTCTGAAATACCAGCACTCTACATCTAGAGTCTACCTAAACTGAGGTACCTAAACTGAGGTAACTAAACAGGTCTGCTGGCGGCTACCAGAATTCCAGGCATAACTTCAAAATATAATAATCCATCTCCTGGTGAACCTTGCAAACACAAACTGCTTCAGTGATGGAAATCCTACATAATTAGCACTTTAAAATAATTGTTTTTATAAAAAGATCATACATACGGCGGTGTACACATTTCTTTCTTCTGGAAACTACTCTGTGGGTTTACTTGACTATATCAACTGTTCTTGACTCCAGTTTGCAATGGAGGTGAAAGAAATCTGGGTGGAAGGCCCTACCTTACCAGTGATGAAACGTTATAAATGTTGCAGAAATGATGGTGACAACTCGACTGAACAAATCTGACTTTTACATGATTCCTTTTCAAACAGTAAGAAATGGAGGCCATCTAACTGATGAATAACCAGGCTAAGGGGAGCTCTGGAAGTCCTGTGTGTACCCACACAATTAAGTTGAGCACTCAGTGAAACTGCTTTCCCAGACAGGATGGAGGATGATCGATCAGGAAACAAACTGGACATATATTACAGCGAAAGGGCTTACAGGTAACTCTGGCCCAAGGCCACCGCCACTTCATTTCGCAGGATCAAACACCTCAAATGGTTAATTGAGGAGGAAAACCACTTAATGCTTGGCACTGGAAGATCCTCCGGCTGGGTCTTGCGTTGGTTTATATTTCTGAGACGGTGGCAAGAAGGGGAAATTGGTCTTTGTGTGCACGGGTGAAGACGGGACTATAGTTGAAACTGCCGGGGAGTTTCAACAATATCAAGAAGGCCCAGATGCTCAGGGCTCGCCCAAGATCAATCACTCCGAATCTCGGGAGTTGGAGCCCACGCATGAACACTTTTAACCATCTAGTACCACACTGCAGCGGTGGCTGACAACACTGGGGAAGTAGTTCCAATCGGTAGCAAATCCTCCTTCTTTTGGGAAGGCTTAGGACCCCAACTTCCTTCAGGAGGTCTCTCCCCGCAGCCTGGGGAAATTTCAGCTCCCAGGTCCCGTCCCAGAGCTTCGTAAACGGCGCTCACCTGAGCAGCACTGGTTTAGTAAAAGGCTTTTACGCACACCTTCTCGCAAACACCCTACCTAAGTCCAACACGGAGGCTGAAGCACACAAACCCAGGGAAGACCAGAATAACCACCCTCCCGTCCCTGAAAGGAGGTCTCAGCGAGGACCGCAGCTAAGCGCAGAGGGCGCAAGCGCAGACGGGTGCTGAGCGCGGAGGGCGGAAGCGCAGACCTACGCTGAGCGCGGAGAGCGCAAGCGCAGACCGATGCTGAGCGCGGAGGGCGGAAGCGCAGACCGACGCTGAGTGCGGAGGGCGCGTGCGCGGCCTTACAGACGTTACTTCCGGCTGGCGGAGGAGGGGATTGCGGTGCTGGGTGGCTGACCCTGGGTCGGGACCTCTCCCACCTTCCCGGTTCGGCGACTTCGACCCCACCTCTACCCGGGTCGTGCCCCCAACCCGAGCCTACCCGTATGGCCCGGCACGTGTTCCTGACTGGGCCCCCAGGTAATCTTGCCCGTGTCCGCACCCTCCACGAGGCCGAGGGGTGGGCGTGGCGGGCGCGTGGGGTTGCGGCAGCCGGTGCTCTCCGTCTCTAAAATTCCGGATGTTAAGCTACAGGCTTGGTGGTCAGAAGCCTGCGAAAAATGTGATTGAATCCATAAGGTAAATGAAATGAAGCCAACTTCAGGAGGGCGAGACAACCTTGTTATGGAGTGGCACCTGGCCTTCCGTATTAAGGTGTTAAGTAGGATCAAAGGCAGTAGTAGTACTGTCCCTGGTAGCTCAGACGGTAAAGAATTCGCCTGCAATGTGGGACACCCGGGTTCGAGCCCTGGGTTGGGAAGATCCCCTGGCGGAGGGCATGGCAACGCATTCCAGTGTGGCAACCCATTGCAGTATTTTTGCCTGGAGAATCCCATGGACAGAGGAGCCTGGTGGGCTACAGTCCGTGGGGTCGCAAAGAGTAGGACAGGACTGAGCGACTAACACTCTGAAGTTGTGATGTGCACAGGACATATTTCAGGATCTCTGCCACCACCACCGAAGGTGTCTGATTTCTGTCGTCACACGCGCCTGCATTTATCATGAAAGAGTTTCGGAATTCCAGTTGAATTCCAGTTGCAAGATAGTGCAACCGTGTTCCCTATCCACATTCACTGACCGCCCCCCACCCCAATTTCCTGCATGAGTGAGGTCGCAGGTTGAGAGCCTTGGTACCCCCACACACGGGGGCGGGGTACTGGGCACCCCCACCCAGACCCTTCTTTGGTGCCTGTCCCTTCTAATGGAAATCCCTCCAACCTTAGACTGTGAAGGTCTCATCTTTGAAAGGTGGTGAAAGTGAAAGTTAAGTCGCTCAGTTGTGTCCGACTCTTTGGGACCCTGTGGACTGTAGCCCACCAGGCTCCTCCGTCCATGGGATTCTCCAGGCAAGGATACTGGAGTGGGTTGCCATTTTCTTCTCCAGGGGATCTTCCCCACCCAGGGATCGAACCCAGGTCTCCCGCATTGCAGGCAGATGCTTTAATCTCTGAGTCACCAGGGAAGCCCTTGAAAGGTGGTAGTGTGCATTTAAATGAGAGACTGGTGGAACAGATAGATGCCTTTTAAGCCAAGATGCTGCACATAGATAAGCCATTACTAAAAGAAGAGGCAAGAAGTTTGTGACAACATCAGATTAAGACAGCATCAGATAAGTTAAGAGAGAACAGCAACAAAAAATTTGGACTTTGAGTGCAGAAAGTGATTCTTTAGCTTCTTTGCAGTTTCAGGTTAACTGTGCATTCAGATATCAACCATTGTAACCCCAGGCCTGAAATTCTCTCTCACTTTTTTTTAATTAGTATCTTTAGCTTTTAGGACCACAGGTTAACTTAATGTTGCAGATTCTAGAGTTTTATATTTATCAGGCAATGGGGGAGTGGTGAGGAGAAGGGTGTTTTGAGAAATTTCTAATATCCAGAGGTACTCCTTAATATTGTAAAGGAATGTCTTCTAAAAGTTGATTTGTCAGTCCTTTATTTGAAACTTTATTTGAAAGTTTTCTCAGCAGCCTGGCCCCAGGACATCTATGTGTTTCATAACAGAAGTGGCTTATTTTTATGATTGTACCTGCTTGAGTCCTGGAGGTGGGTGAGGACAGAGGCCAGCCAGGCCAATACTAGTTCTTCTTTCTGTTTCCTTCTTTATAAAGTTTTATATGCATACACATGATTGAAAGACTCAGTGCTAGAGTGTAGCTTTCTTAAGCCTGGCCTTAAACCCACTAACCTCTTTCTCCCAGTTTTCCCAAAGCAGTTACACTATAATTTTAATTAGCTCAGTGGTCAGTGTTGATGGTATTTTAACTGTAAAAGTAAACCACAGTAGAACCATGGAGCCGAGAGTATCTGTAATGTATTTTCCCTTTATGCACATTTTCCCCCCTTTGGAATTTCCTCCTGTTTTTTTCATTGGCTTAGTATCTTTCTGTCACCAGTCCAGTACCAAACTCTGCCTGCTGTCTGAATCTCTGTGTGTTCAGACATCAAGTATCTTCTCAGAGACACTCTTGTACACTCTCAGGGCCCCACTCATGTGTCCTTTGCACTTATCAGTTTTTCCCCCACTTCCAGCTGTCCAGTCTGTGACCTATCCAGAGGACTTTCTCTGACCCCTGGGCCCACCTCTGCCTGCACACGGGCAGGCCTGAAGGGCCAGGGAATTCCTGCCCCCTGAAGCAGCTGTGACCCTTGACAGTTGGAAGTTGGTGGGTAAACTCCTTCCTCACTCATCACACAAGAGAACTCTGAATCCAAAGCTGTCTCCTAGGATTTCTCAGTGGGATTAAACTACCTACTGATAACTTGTTGATAATGCAGTCACCTCCCCACCAGTGTGTTATCTTCGGGTGTTGCTTCCCAAATTAAACAGCCTGCACGTGAGTCTTTATTTCACGGTCCACTTTATAGGAGAACCAGAACCAAAATAATTCTGGGGCTTTCCAACCCGTTCTTTCTGAATGTGGTGTGGGCCTTTGATTTTGGGGTCTCCTTCCTATAGGTCACTTCTTAGCCAGTGTAGATAGCAAATTAACTTAGATAAAATTTCTAGAGCTAAAGAGGGAAAAAGGGACTAGAGCCAAATGCCTCTTCTTGGTTTAAGTGTTCTCCCTAACAGATTAGACCCACGATATTCCCTTTTATTACAGCTGTTCCATTTTGTCTTTTGCATAATGTAAATAGCTTTGTTTTTTTCTTAAATTAAGAGCAATACTCACTGTAAGACCAAAAAAAAAAAAAAAAATAGAAAGTTATAAAGAAGAAATTGAAAGTGCCTTGGATTTACAACATACAGAAACAAATACTATAAATCTTTCTGTTCTTCTTGACATTTTCTTCTGGAGACACCTACATACTTCACTTTTTTAAAATTGAGATATAGTTGATTTACAGTATTGTGTAAGTTTCATGTGTATACCAGTGATTCACAGTTTTTCAAGATTCTGTTTATAGGTATTATAAAATATTGCCTTTTCCCCCCCTGTGCTGTAGAATATATCCTTGTAGCTCATTTGTTTTATACGTAGTAGTTTGGGCCTCTTAATCTCCCCCATCATACCCCTTCCCTCTCCCCACTGGTAACCACTAGTTTCTTCTCTCTGTCTGTGAGTCTGTTTCTTTTTATTATATAAAACGAGTTTGTTCTATTTTTTTAGATTCCATATATAAGTGATACCACACAGTATTTGTCTATCTCTGCCTGAATTATTTCACTAAGCCTAATATCGTCCAGGCCCATCCATGATGTTGCAGATGGCAAAATTTCATTTTTTTAATAATTGAATAGTATTTCATTGTATTGTATACCATATCTTTGTCCATTCATCTGTTGATGGAAACTTAGGTTGCTCCCATATGTTGTAAATAATGCTGCTATGAACATTTGGGGGTACATTTATCTTTTCAAAAGAGTGTGTTCGTTTTCTTTGGATATATACCCAGGAGTGGAATTGCTGGATCATATGATAGTTGAGGAACCTCTACACTGTTCTCCACAGTGACTGCACCAGTTTACACATGACAGCATACAGGTTCCCTTTTCTTCTCGTCCTTGCCAACATTTGTTATTTGTGGTCTTTCAAAAAAAAAAGTAACGGAATACTACTGTGTATTTCTGTTGTTTCTTAACCTGCTTTTTCTCCATATATTATTTTCATATGTTGTGGTCTGTTTTCCATGCTAAGCAGTAAGCTCTTTCCATAGGTAAGCAGTGTTCTCTTTAATGGTTGCATGAGATTCCTATGGGTTTATGTCATTATACACATGATACCATAATTTAACAATCCCTAATGAATGAACATTAAGTTGTTTCAGAGAAGTCCCAACTTACACATTAACAGAGGCCACTTGCCCGTGTTAAGCGGATTCTTCAGTGACTCCCCTAAAGCAGCAGTTACTGAGGGACAGAGGTGGGATTACATTCCCTCCTAGTGCCATGAGCATGGGCTGCTGTTCATGTTTCGAAGGCCAGACACCATTGTTTGTTCGTGTGAAACTTGGAGGAAGAATGAACTAAATGAGAATAACATCATATTTTATTTCAAGTAAGCGTCAAAAGCTTCTTTGGGAACCCTGATGACTCTCCATGGGCAGCCATAGGAATAATACGACTTGCAACCCTGTTGTGTCATAATAGCTGTGTTGCAGACGTGGTTTCCCATTTTGGGGTAGTCATGATGCCACTGACTTTGTATGAGAACAAGGTTCATATGAAATAAAATCATGGTGGCAGATGAAGGCCCCTGTTAAACTGTATGGTCTCTCTCAGTTGTCTGACCATGGATAAATTGCCCATCTTCTCTGTGCTTCAGTTTCTTCTTTTGTAAAATAGGGACAAGGGTGGCAACTGCTTCACAGGGTAATTGTAAAGAATTAAGCAAGAAAATGCTTAGGAGGCATGCGAGACCAGGCCCTGCCTCCACAGCATCACTGAATAGTAGTATTAAATAGTGTTTAACTTGTAAGCACCCAAGTGTTAATCAGAGTAGTCCATTGGCTAGGCTGGGAGGAAACAAAGGGGTCCTGGGTGGGGAGGATGAGTGGGCGGAGGTGCACAGGTTATCCTCTGGGAAGAGGTTGGGGGCAAGTCAAAGGAATACTTAGGGATACTCTAGGAGGTGATGGAGATCAAAGCAGTCAATCCTAAAGGAAATCGGTCCTGAATATTCATTGGAAGGACTAATGCTGATGCTGAAACTCCAATACTTTGGCCACCTGATGCAAAGAACTGACTCATTGGAAAAGACCCTGATGCTGGGAAAGATTGAAGGTGGAGGAGAAGGGGACGACATAGGATGAGATGCTTCAATGGTATCACCAGCTCGATGGACATGAGTTTGAGTAAACTCTGGGAGTTGGTGATGGACAGGGAAGCCTGGCATGCTGCGGTCCATGGGGTTGCAAAGAGTTGGACACGACTGAGTGACTGAACTGAACTGAACTGAACTGAGGAGGTGATGGAAGGCATGGCCAACCTGATGGGATTGCTTTTCTGGAAAAAGTTGAAAAATTGCCATTTCTAGTAGTGTTGGAGGTATCTAAGAGTCCCATTTTGGGGAGCCATACATTGTAAGTCCAAGGAGAAATGAAGGGATGTTCCCACTGTTAAACATAGGTTCAGAGTGTCTTGAAATCCTAACTTAAAGCATCCAGCCTTTGCCTGAAGCTTGACCAGCTTTACTTTTCTAGGTGGAAAAGTTTGCTCCCTCAAGAAGAGTAAACTCAGGAGAAAACAAAAGCTTGTCTTGTAGGATGCAAATTGCACCTGAAATTATCATCAGAAAACCACTCAGTTGGTTCTCTGATCATGTATGTGACAAAACTAATAATGTTTCAGAATTTAAAAATAAACTTCAGTATACCATTCACATTTTTATTATATTTGTTTTCTACTTGAAATTAAACAGTTTTTACATCTGGAGCAATCAAAGTTAAGTGAAGTTAATGTTCATAAAAGCCTTTTGCAGCCCATTTCTCTCCTGGTTGCTGTGCTCCAACAAGGCAGTGGGTCCTGATGGACTCTTTTTTTTTTTTTCTCTAGGAGTTGGAAAAACAACACTGATCCAGAAAGCCACCGAAGTTTTAAAGTCCTCTGGCGTGCCTGTCGATGGGTTTTATACAGAAGAAGTCAGACAGGGAGGAAGAAGAATAGGGTTTGATGTTGTCACGTTGTCTGGCATCCGGGGACCTTTATCCAGAATTGGGTACTGCAGCTTCATTCCTGAAGTGTTTTTTCTTTTCTTTTCTTTTTTTTTTTTGACCATGCCTCACAGCATGCGGGGTCTTAGTTCCCCGACTAAGAGATCAAACCTACGCCCCCTGCATTGGAAGGGCAGAATCGTAACCCCCGGACCACCACGGAGGTCCCTCTGCGGTGGTGTTCTCCTGGGCCCAGGGCTGAGCCAGGTGGTCCCTTCTGTCTTAAAGAATCTTGAGCTTTTATGGCTTTCTTGGCATCAAAGAAAACAGAGGTTGAAGTCATCGTATGAAAAGCAAAGTTGGAAATACCATATTTCAGTGCAAACTGATTCCACTGAGCAGTAAGCTCTGCTCTCTTGGTACCTTGTGGCCCTGTTTCTCCTGTCACTCTTCTAAGACAGGTGATACGCCCGCTCCTTGGAGGTAACTGCCAGGCTGTGGGCGGTGGTGTGCGCACCAGTGTTAGCCCTGATCTCAGGAGGGAGTGAGCAATCAGATCAGCTCTGCTCACTGCACTGTCTGGTAGGTGATTTTTAAGGATGGTTTAGCACATGGAGAAAGCCAGAGGCTCAGTGGAGCAGCTAAAAATCAGAAGCCAGTGCAGGGGTCTCAATGAGGGATGGACCATCTTTTTCTTTCAGGTCAGAGCCTCTGCCTGGAAAGCGTGAGTGCCGTGTAGGGCAGTACGTGGTGGACCTGACGTCCTTTGAGCAGCTGGCGCTCCCGGTCTTGAGGAATGTGAGTGTCTTTCTGCTTCTGAAGCTGGGCTGTTCTTAGTACCTTGTGGGAATTGCTCGCCCTGGGAGCAGAGTGGCTTTTGCTCTAGAGATGTCAGTTTTGTGTTTTACAGCTCAAAAGTCTTGAAGTGATTGAGCTCATGTAACTTCCTGTCACTCTGAACTACAAGTAAATTCCTTGTCACAGAAATTCAGTACGTGTAAAAGACTATACTGGGTGGGCTTTGATGCCAATCTTCCACACTCCCCAAAGAGAAGTCTTTCCTCTGATCTTCCCCTTGTTTATATCTTAACCCTGTCTTCACACCACAACAAATAAATATTTAGGAAGGTAAAATGTCATTATATGAACATAATGGTAAGAACTTAATACATTACATCACTGTATTACCTGTTATTTTTTTTTAAAAAACAGCATTATTGAGGTATGGGTTTCCCAGGTGGCTCAGGAGTCAAGAATCTGCCTGCCAAAGCAAGAGACATAGGAGACACAGGTTCAGTCCCTGCGTCGGGAAGATCTCCTGAAGAAGGAAATGGCAACCCGCTCTAGTATTCTTGCCTGGAGAATCCCATGAACCGAGGAGCCTGGTGGGCTACAGTCCATAGGGGTCACAAAGAATTGGACCTGACTGAGCAACTGAGCACATTTTGAGATATAATTCACATACTGTACAGTTCACCCATTTAAAATGTACAGTTCAGTTTTTTCTCATATACTTATGGGATTGTGCAATCAACTATCTTAGCCCAATTTTTGAACATTTTTGTCATCCCCAAAAGAAACCCCATTCCCATAAGCAATCTCTATTTCTATGTCTCTGCTGTTCTTTGAAACCACTGTCCTACTTTTTTGTCTGCAGATTTGGCTATTCGTAATATTTTCTGAGAAGGAAATAATACAGTATGTGGTCTTTTGTGACTAGCTTATTTTATTTTGCATCATAGTTGCAGGGTTTATCCATATCACAGCGTGTATCAGTACTTTTTCCTTTTATGGCTATATAATATTGCATTGTATAGATATACCACAAATAATTTATCTGTTCTTCAGCTAATGAGCACTTGGATATGCTTCTACTTTTGGCTATTATGAATGATGCTGCTCTGAACATTTATGGACAAGTTTTGGTATAGATAACTGTTTTAGTTCTCTTGTGGAGAACTACCTACAAGTGGAAATGCTGGGTCATGAGGTAATAATTATATAACTTTTTGAGAAAACACTGGTGTTTTCCAAACCAGTGGTGCTGTTTTACATTCCCACCTGCAATGAATGAAGGTTTCATTTTCTCTATAGCCTTGCTAATTGCTGTCTCTTCCTAATTATGTACAATCTAGTAGGTGTGATGCAATATCACATTGTAGTTTTGATATGCACTTCCCTGTTGATCTCTGATGTTGAGCATCTTTTCACATACTTATTGGCCATTTGTATATTTTCTTTGGAGAAATGTCTTTTTCTTTGGCCCATTTTTTACTTGCTTCAGTTGTCTTTTTATTACTGAGTTGTAAGATTTCTGTGTGAGTTCTGGATACCAGTCTGTTTTCAGATAACTGATTAGCTGGTATACAGTTGACTCTTTGTATCTCTGCATTCCACGTCTATGGTTGTGGAAGACAAACTGCTGTGCCATTTCATATGAGGGATTTGAGGATCCTTGGATTTGGTGTGTGTGGGAGGGCCCTGGAACTGGTCTCCCTTGGATACCAAGAGACGCTTGTATTTATCTACTCTGTAGCTGTCTTTACTTTCTAGATGTGATGACACAAATGTTTTTATTTTTGAAAAGTCTAGTTCATCTATTTTTCTTACGGTGTTTGTGCTTTTGCTGTTTTACCAAAGAAGGCTTTGCCTGATGCCGTTTGATGGAGATTTATTTCCATGTGTTCTTCCAAGAATTTTATAGCTTTACTAATGCATTTAGGTCTGTGGTCTACTTTGAATTGGTTTTTGTGTATGGCGTAAGGTATGGATTAAAAGTCATTCTTTTGCATGTAAATATCCAGTTTTTCCAGAACTGTTTGTTGAAAAGACTCTTCTTTCTCCATTTAATTATATTGAAACTCTTTTACAAATCAGTTCAATTCTGTTTTGAATTCTATTCAGTTTATCCTCATGTCAGTTCCATCTGTTCTTATATCAGAATGACAGTGTTTGATTACTGAAGCTAGGATGTTGATAGAGGTTGTGTTGAATCTGTAAATCAGTTTGGAGAGTATTGCCATCTTGGTGGTGGTAGTTTAGTCACTAAGCCGTGTCCAATTCTTGTGATCCCATGAACTGTAGCCTGCCAGGCTCCTCTGTCCGTAGGATTCTCCAGGCAAGAATACTAAATGGGTTGCCATTTCCTTCTCCAGGGGATCTTCCTGACCCTGGGTCTCCTGCATTGCAGGTAGGTTCTTTACCAACTGAGCTATGAGGGAAGCCCCATTGCCATCTTAACAATATTGAATCTTGATCCATGAATATGACTTATCTTTACATTTACTTAGACTGTCTGATTTTGTTCAGTCACATTGTTCTGAGGTTTCCAGCATACAAGTCTTATACTTCTTTTTAAAAAATTTATACCTTTTTATAAAAGTTTCCCAATTTTATTTTTAGACTGTTCATTACTAATGTATCCTGCAGCCTAGGCAGACTAATAGTTCTAACAGTTCTTTAGTGAATTTCTTAGAATTTTCTGTTTACAAAATGATATCTGCAAATGGGGAAAATTTTATTTCTTCCTATTTGCTTTGGATGCCTTTTATTTTTTCTTTCCTAATTGCCTCAGCCGGAAGCTCAATTCGGTGAGTTTTTGAAGAATTGGTATTAATTTTTCTTGGAATATTTGCTGGAATTCACCAGTGAAGCCATGTGGGTCTAGGTTTTTCTTCATGGGAAGCTTTCTAATTATGAATTCAATTTCTTTACTTGTTATATATCTGCTGGTTTTTTTATTTCATGCTGAATTAGTTGTGGTAATTTGTGTCTGTTAGTAATTTATTTGTCCATGTCATTAGACAGTAAGTTACTTAATTTGGCATACAGTTGTTCATATATTCCCCTATAATCCAAAGTAAAAACTTTGCAAAATCTGTTATATTTTCCCTTCTTTCATGCATTTTAACTGTTTAAGTTGTCTCTTTTTGGACTTAATAACTAAAGGTTTGTCAATTTAGTCGATCTTTTCAAAGAACCAACTTTTGGCTTGTAGATTGTATATTACTTGTTTTTTGCATTCATTCATCAAATATTTATCAAATCCTTGATATATAGTCATGAACAAAACATGTTTTCTACTGTCTCAAAACTCTCATTCTAGTGGAGATGTAGATATTAAGCAAATAAATGGATAATTGTCATAAATGCTGCCAAGAAAAAAAAGATGGGAGTGCTATGAGAGAGACTAGAGGAGCTGACTTTAGATCTGCTGACCAGGAAAGAGCTCTGGGGTGGCGGCGTTTGGATGAAATGGAAAGGTGAGAAGGGCACTATCACTTCCAGGAGAAAATATTCGGGTGTTTCATGGTGGTCTGGGGAGAGTGTTGTGGATGACAGGAGCAGAGATGTGGAGGCCTCGGGGCCCTGGGCAGGAGCAGGTGAAGGAGGAGGGCCGCTTGGTGAGGTGGGTGGAGTCAGCCGTGCGAGGTTTTTGTGGACCATATTAAGGAATATGGGTTTTATATCGTCTTATTGTTGACTTACAACTTTAATATACTTTTGTGAAAATCAAATAGTATGGACCTGCCTCGAGAGGCACTTCTTTATAAACTCTGGCAGTCTCCACTGTACCAGCGGTGCAGTCCCGGTCCTCCCGAGGCCTCAGACTGTGCCGTGTGGCTTCTGCAGTCCGTCCTCCTCCCCATCCTCCTGCACGCGGCTCAGCCTGCCCGCCACGTGCCAGCCTTCCGCCCTTGTCATTTTTCTCATGCCTTGGCTTCTCTGCTCTTTTTTCTTTTGATGCTCAGGGCTCAGCTGAAATAGACAGGCTTTGGTAAGTGCCCAAGGCTGCTGGAAATGCTGGGTGTGCCTGTGAAGGGCAGCGTCTGACTCCGGGCCTCGGGGTCTCGCGCCGAGTTCTGGCAGGCGGCTGCCCCTCCAGCCCGCCTGCCCCTCGGCCCTGTCTCTCCCTGCCTGCTCCTCTTTTCCCTGAATTTCTTTTTCTTGGAGCTTTCTCTCGTGCCCTCTGCTGGGGACTCTGGTGCCTGTTGTATTGTGTGGAAGCGGGCAGGAAACGTGGTATTTTTATCTCTAGTTATTTTCCCATCTAGTACATACCTCTCCACCTAAATGTTAGAGAAGCAAGTGGAATACTTCAAATAAAATTCTAGATGATGACTCTGGCTTTGAGTACTGGATCGATATAAGGAATTGATTTTTGCACACCTTGCCTAGAGCAGACAATCCCGGGAGAGCAGTGTGTACATATGGGCTTGATGTCTAGCTGCAGGATTATATAAGAAATTGTGTACTGACCGGAATAAGAGCTAGAATCGCTCTCCCTTTTTTAATTAAAAGAGGAAAAAAAAAAACAGACTCTTCCAGTATTTAATAGTTTGATTACCAAACCCAGACTGTCACATTCTAGGTAGAAGAAATTCCAAGGCTGCAGGTCAAGGACATCAGTTTCTTTTCTGAAGCAGAAATTTTTCTCCCATCTCATATATTTCATTGGAATGTAGAAAGGGAAAGGAATTAGTGTTTTGCCTTTATACTGAAAAAAAAAAAATTTTTTTAAAGTAACTGGGCAACAAAAATAGAGACAGATTTTATTATCAGCAGTTGGAATGACCAATTCCAATTGGTCATTGGAAACTAAAGTAAACTGAAAGTTTTAGAAAACACATTTAGGCAGGTCAGAGCCTATTTAAATTTTTTTTATTGAAAAACAGTTGATTTACAGTGTTGTGTTAATTTCTGCTGTGTAGCAAAATGACTTATATACATAGATAGATTCTTTTCTGTATTGCTTTCTTTTATGGTTTATCCCAGGATATTGAGTGTAGTTCTCTGTG